GTTATGATGTACAATTAACAATACTTAAATACTGTGATATAAAGTCAATTCATCTTATATATGTTATCATATGTTAATGATAAGGGAATAACAGAAGAGACAGTGATATTTTCTTAATATATGTGTTAACATATAAACACACGTGTAAATGTATTCATACAAATGTAAGCAAGAGATACTAGTGACAGTTACAGTCTTTTTCCTGTAACTGGTCATGTGGTCATAGCTGGCATTTATAACTATCCTTTTTCATGCCCTCTCATTCCCCTTAGCAAGCTGCTAATGATTCTTCTCTTGGTGGGGTTTTCCAAACCTTCATTCCTAAATGATCTGGGCCATTAGACTGAGTACCCTGCTTGGATTGGGTTGCTTTAGTTTTCCACTGACCTTAATCACAGGACATGGTAAAACTAAGAGACTCTCTAAGAGCTCTCCTATATTCCAGACATAGTCTTTCTTACCTCTATTGTAGAGTAGTAGTCCAATTTCCCCTGGGTAGTCAGGATCAATCACCCAAGCCAGCACAGTAACTCCCTTATTTGCCTGTTGATTCAGAAATATGAGGAGTCCACAGTGGCTAGACAGCAGTCTTAACTTCCAGTTCATTATAATAATTGTGTCTCCTGGCTGAAGCATTCCTCTTTTTGGAACTAAGATCTCTATGCCAGCAGAACACAACATCATGGGAACAGGAAGCAAAAATTTTTCTAGTGGGTAACTAAGGATAATAGTGAGAAGTGCTACTCTTATTTCCACCCCTTGATTCCTAGATCCAGAAAACATGGCTATAGAAGAATAGGCAAACAAACAACATAATTCAGAGCCTATATGGCCTGTTAGAAGACCTTCACCTAAACTTGTATGGTACAGCCACCTAGCTAACATTATAACTAAGTTTTCAAAAGGCCACCCACCATTCTTTCAGCTAGCTATTTTAGAATGGTGGGGGATATGGAAAGACTAATGAATCCTATGAGACCTGGCCTATTGCCACACTTTATTTATTGTGAAATGAGTTCCTTGATCAGAAGCAATATTGTGTAGAATCTTGTGAAGGTGGATAAGACACATTCTTTAAGTCCATGAATAGCAGTTTTAGTAGAAGCACTGTGTGTAGGAAAAGGAACTCCACATTCAAAGTGAGTTTCTAATCTAGTAAGAAGAAAATTTTGTCCTTTTCTTCATATAAGTGGTCCAACGTAATTACCCTGTCCCCAGGTGGTGCCATTTTCAGGGATATGTTGCAGGAAGATTGAGTACTTAGTAGTGCCCATATCGAGGTTTGCCTTGCTTACTGGAAGTCCACATTGCTGAGCCCACTCATAACCTCCATCCTTACCACCAAGGCCACTCTGTTCAGGAGCATATTGGGTGATAGGAATGGTTCAGCAAAGAGGCTGACTGGTATCTACAGAATGGTATATCATCTTATCTCCCTTGATTATCAAAGTTCTTCTCTGCGGAGGTGATGCTATGGTGGACATTCACCTACAGTGTAAATATCTTCACATTTTTTGCCCATTAAAAAAGTCTATCCACATACCTCTTCTATAAATTTATCTGTCACCAATTTCCCAATTATATTCTTTCTAAGTCCCTGACCATGTCCCTGACCATTAGATAAAACTATTGACCATGGCCCATGATTAGACATAAAATGAAGTAAACAAACAGGTACAGTGAGAATAGCTCTACCCACTGAGAGGATTTTTTGTCTCTGCTGCCCTTCATGGATGTCCTTCCACTATTACCTTATGCTCTTGATAATCTTTCCCATACTTTTCCTAAATTTCTATCTATATAAGGTAGAAAACTCAAGTAGTTCTTTTGAAGTGTACTGTAATTCCTCATAGGATATACTTTGTACCTCACCTGTAGGGGTTTGCTGAAACTTGAGCCTAGTTATAGGTCTAAAAGTAAAGCAGGGTCATGGAGATGGGTCCTAAGGAGACTCAGCCTTGTCTCAAATGGTAACTGCCTCGGGAAGGTTATTACAATTTTCTCAGATGATACAGGGTTGATCCTCTCATATGGGGTAGAAGAACTGCTTCTTTTTGGTGTTGAGGCCACTCCCACTGGGGCTAGCTTGCCCTCTTCCACTGGCAAAAGGACTCTCATGTCTAAGGGTTCAATGCCCCCAGCTTCATTAAGTTCTTCCCACATAGACCAATACTGTCAGCATCCTATTCCTCCCCAGTCAATGCCCTCACCTTAAAGGTAGACATCCAAGAGGCTGGGAGTTCAACTTGAATTATAATTCAGCTAGCCACAGGATAGGAGTCTGGGCTTGATTTTCAGCACTCTCACTCCTAAAACTATAGAAAATAAAGTCCTCTTTCAAGAAAGACATAGAAGCCTTTAGATCATGTATTTGGTTTTTGAACTAGAAATTTGAATCCCTGAATACACCTTCTTCTTTCCCTACTTTGTTCAGTGACATTAGGATCAACCAGTCAATCTCATTATATTCATTAATTTGCCCCAAATATTTGAGAGTATCTCATACGTACCCACTCAGCTCCTTGATTTTCATAACTGGTTGATTAGGAATATCCAATTCAGTATTTTGCATATTACATTGCTAGATCATGCCATAGAATATAAATGTTCTCTTTACTACTGGAAATAGAGTTATTAATGTCTTTAAATTTAATCAAATTAGAAAGCCAATTTAGGAAACTTCAGAACTGATTTATACAATTTTTCTTCAAATTCTTTTCCTCTGAGTCTAGAACCATTCACAACAAAATACATTTTAGTTAGGGTTCTCCAGAAAAACTGAACCAATAAAATTATATACATATTCTTATATATGTATATGCATGAAATTTTTAAAAATGAAATTATTTCATTTATTAAAATTATTTATTATATAAAATAGAAATTGGTTCACACAATATGGAGACTGAAAAGTCTAAAAACCTGCACTTGGCAACAAAAGACCCATGTGAGCTAATAATGCAATTCCATTTTGAATTTAAAAAGCTGAGAATCAGGAAAGTTGATAACATAAATTCTGATCCTAGAGCTGGCAGGCTCAAGAGTCAGGAAGAGCTGATGTTTCAGTTCAAGTTCAAAGGTGGAAAAGACTGGTATTCTAGCTCAAGTAGTTAGGTCACAGGGAGTTCCTTCTCACGCAGGAGAGATTCAACTTTTTATTCTATTCAGGCATTCAACCTACTGGATGAAAGCTGCCCACATTGTGGAGGGGAAGGTGCTTTACTCTGTGTACTGACGCAAATGTTAATCTCATCCAAAAACACCCTCACAGCCATACCCTCAAATAATGTTTGATCCAGTATATGGTTACCTCTTGGCTCAGTTGAACTGACACATAAAATTACCTCCCACACATAATCTCTTGTCTCCCACTTATGTCTCTAACTCTAATTATACATACCCAATATGTGCTCCTCTCTCCACATATAATCTGCTGAGCAGACTGACAAAAAGTTCCCAGATACTTGGACCAAAGTATCAGAGATGAGCATAGTGTTTGCTGCATGTAAAAGTAATTCACATAGGCTATGCCAATTAAACCACCACTAACAACAATTTATTTGCTAAGTAACAATCTTATCTGAAAATTATTTTTGACAGTCATAATAGAAATAATAATAATACTTTATTAGGTTAAATCATATTCTGAGCAAATTTAACTTGGTGGGGGGTGATTTTAGAAGCTCAACCATGTACAGATGACTCCAATTCTTTGACAACTCTAACAACAAACAAATATTTTAATGTATATTGAAGATAAAGAGTGATAAAATCTCTCTCTTGCTCAAATTCTAATTCGGCTACTCTGAGCCTCCTTCTTGAGTAGGCCTAGACTTTTGTCTCTGTTTTTGCCCAGTCTTCATAGTCTAGTTTTAGCAAGAATATCTCAAATATTAGTTTGGAGATAATTTCCTATTTTTGATATCTGATCCCCTCAATAGCTAATAAATTTCCTTATTCCCCAACTTTGATGTATCAGGTCTTGATCTGCCTTCAGTAAGAATCTTGTTGAGTTGATTCAGCAATAATTCCCCGACTCTTGATATTTCTTCTTAGTATTTCTCCACTGACTTAACCCCCTCACTCTGCTTATTGGCTACAAGTTGTCAGTTGTCAGGTTTTTT